CTCTCTGCCTTCTTGATCCAGGATCTTGAACTCTTCGTATTTTTAAGTGTTGTACGTTTCTATTATTTAACAAAAGCAACTACTTGAGTTGAAATACGTATTATTCCTCACAAATGACAACAAGAAGCCACTGGTGTGAACGGTCTCAGAATCAGAGGACTGATCTGAGAAAAGCTGCCCGTTTAGAGGCCACTCACATGACGTTCACATTTCTCCTTCAAGAATGAGTAAACATTAGTTATTTTAATGCATGTATTTATCAGGGACGTCAATCAGTGAAAATCTTTTAATTGTTATATGCATAATGTTGTTGTGGTCACGCATTAAGAAAACTAAATAGTAAGCTTATTGGGTTTGACAGTTTGTGTGTGAACGTACAGCAGTGGCTCTAAACTCAAAACAACGCAACACAACCATAAAACAGGTTTCTACTCTTCATGGACATACAGGAGGATGCAGTCCTCCGCTGGCGTTCACATGAACCTTTCTGCACGATATTGATGTTTTCTATTGACAAGAATCTTTATAAACAACATCTAGCCTATATTTACTAAAATAACTTCCTTGATAAATTCTTTTATAATGTAATTTTTCATGTTTAATATTACAAACTGCTGTGTTTTAATAAAATACATGTTAGGTATGATTAAAAAAGGCATAGTTTATTTTTATTCAACAGAGGGAAAAACAAACAATGCATATTGTATGATTCGGCATTACTCATCTGAACATATGGATGATTTTAAACCTTAAATCCTTCTGAAATATACATTTATACAGTCTAGTAACCTCTGGTAATCTACAGCGGCCTGCTAATGGATCGTGCCATTTGTGACGTGGAGGCTGGGCTGGGAAAGACCTGCGTGAGCCTGTATGAGCTGGAAGACATTCATTACTTGTGTCATGTCTCATGCTTTACACTTTTATGATTGTTGTAGAATTTTATACATACCCAAAAATCATATAGACTTACTGTACCCCTCAAAACTAAATGATTTCAAATCTAACTTTAGTCTGTGATTGTCATCACATTAAACATAAATAAACAGTGTTTTCTTAAGTTTCTTGTTTTAATAGGAGCATGTTTCATTACACAAGCATACTGTGAGGTTAGATTCATTCTATCATCGCAGTAGTTTGACTGGTTTCTTGTTCGCTCCGGAAACTGCAAGTTACTCGCGGATGAACATTGTTTTGGTTATTCGGTGAGTTGTGCTTCGGCTGTGGTCTCAGCGCGAATTAATATGATGGTTTGAGGTGTACCCATGATTACCTGCCATCACTTTAACAGAGCAAATGTCACTAACAATATTCAAATGCACTGCATCCAAAAAAAAGAGACAACTTTATTTTTTAAAAAGGGATTCAGTGAACTGGAAAAACAAGTCTTTGCGAAGAGGTTTTAATAATGCATGATTCCTAAGAAGGTTTCCTTTTTGAATGATCTATTGTGTTACTAATGTTGTCCATTAGTTAATAGCAGAAATTGTGAGATCGAACACACCTCGTCGCACACGCAGACCACCTTCTGAGTTTACGAACGTGACGTAACCACGCAAAGACACGAAAGTGACATTTCCCTTGAAATCCGACCTGACAGCTCAAATCAAACATTATAATAATCTTACCCTCATGAATGGGGATGAGTCAAGCAGACAGTTTTAATGTATTCCGTCAAAATTGATTTTGCTTTACAAATAAAATCTTCCACACTGCATGCAGATTAGTAACACAACACACAAACTCCAGGATCGGCTCACTTTAAGCTCAGTCTGATTTAGCCACTAAACCTGCTTCATGCCACAGTGTGATGAAACAGAAGGCTACATCCAGAACATCACAAATAAAGGCAATTCTTCAAGAGAACCGGATTCAGTTAGAGCAAAAACTCACGATCAAGCAGGACCACAATGCAAAGCACTCGGCCAAGAACACTGATGCGTCTCAATTTATACAAAACCAAACAAAAAAGTCAAATTTCAATTTTTTCACTGCTTTATTCTATGAACTAAAGTCGTCCGAAAACTTCGTTACGTACTACGGAAGCACTACTCTCAGGCTGGTCTTGTAGAAGTTAAAAAGCTAAATGAAACAAACTACTACAGGCTCATTTAAAATGAATTTCCCCGAAAGGAAATGACAGTCTCCCCACGAACCGTCCACCATGACTCTGTCAGTGATAGTACTGCCCTCCTCGGCCTCCTCTACCCCATCGGCCTGCTCTCCATCCGTCTCCTCCGGAGCGCCAGCCGCCCGCACCCCGATTCCCGCTGTATCCCGCTCCTCCTCCTCGGCCTCCTCCTTCAGCTCTCTTCTGCCACGCGGGCATCTCCGGCAGAGGAGCTTCAATCTCAGACGGCCGTCCGCCGCGGTCAGGAACCCGTCCCATCAGGATCTGAGGAGTCACCACACACAGAGCGTCACACACCAGCCACAACCTGACAGAAAAGCAAAGAAAGGTCCGATAACCTACGTACTCTGTTTATTGCACAGCTGGTTTTCTCTCGGCACGAGCCGCTGCTGGTCTTCACCATATAGCAGATGTCCTGTCGCGCGGCGAGCAGATGAGCCACACTCACCGAGGACCGCAGAGACAGAGAATATCGCTTCGGCTGATACGCTCTGGCCATCCTGTCAATTTTCACCTGAAAAATACATTTGCTTTTCTATCAAAACACTCAATGACATGTGCGTCTGTCTGACACTGATTTAAAGCAAGAGATGCAACGAATGCAAGCAGCTGACTGTAGGAACAAAATACGCTCTAGTTACCCGTCCACTATTATTAACATAGCAAAGTGTAAACCCAGGACCCTATTCTCTGAGATCAAGCAAACTTGTCAAACCACCATCTCCCTTTCCTAATGGTTCTTCTGGCCTCTGTGAAAACGTTGTCATTTTTTATACACAAATTGACAGTATCTATCAATCTTTTTCTTGCTTTGCTCCTCCAGAACCCTATGCCTCTCAGATACTCTATCCACTCTCTAACTTCACACTCACGAATACATCTGTGGTTGAACAGCTGATTATTAACTCCAACTACTCTTCCTGCTCAAAAACGTTCTGCCTTCTCTCATTATACCCATCACTCACATGATAAATAGATCCCTTATGACTGGTTATGTACCTACTGGACTGAAAGTAGCCGTGATCACCCCAGTACTAAAAAACCTGGACTTGATGACACAGTCCTGAGTAAATTCAGACCAATTTCCAACCTTCCCTTTGTGTCTAAGATCCTACAAAAGATGGTCTCCACTCAACTACAGACTCATTTGGACAAAAATAATCTGCATGAACCATTTCAGTCCGGATTTCGTCCTCTCCACAGTATAGAGACTCTTCTTCTAAGAGACTGCTCTTGCCACTGATTCTAGTGTCCTCAGCCTTCTGGTCCTCTTGGACCCGAGTGCAGCTTTTGATACTGTTTGCTATTCTGCACTCCTGTCTCGTTTGTCTGCGATTGGCATTACAGGAACTGTCCTGCAGTGGCTAAGCTCATATCTCTCAGACAGGCAGCGGTTCATTAGCATTGATAAACACAAATCTCGGTCCATCACTTTTTCCCGTGGAGTGCCTCAAGGATCTGTTCTTGGTCCACTTCTATTTTTAATCTACATGCTTCCTCTGGGTCTTAATTTCCACAGTTACGCTGATGATACGCAAATCTATTTTATGGTACAGCCCAATTCTGTTTTTCCTCCTTCTTCTTTAACATCTTGCCTACATGATCTTAAAGTATGGATGGGTCAAAATTTCTTAAAATTGAATACTGAAATAAAAACTGAAATTCTGTTAGTAGGCCCTAAATCCCTTGTCTCCTCCCATTTTGACCTCTCTATTAACATCGATAGATTTATAGTTCATCCCTCCCCCACTATACGCAGTCTTGGTGTACTATCTGATTCCACGCTATGTTTTGAACCCCATATCAACCAGCTAAGTCCTGTTTTTTTTCATCTTCTCAATATTGTCCGTATACGACCCTCACTAAATTTCAGAGATGCTGAAACTGTTACTCATGCTTTCATAACTTCACATCTGGACTATTGTAACTCCTTGTTATATGGCCCACCCAACAAAGCTCTTAATTGCTTGCAGCTAATTCAAAATTCAGCTGCTCGTGCCCTTGCATTTACCAAAAAATCAGCCCACATCACTCCTGTCTCACAGCAATTACACTGGCTCCGTTATCTATCGTATTTAGTTTAAGATACTTGTCCTAGTTTTCAAGGCTTGTCATGGGTCTGCACCTTCTTACCTTTCTGAATTAATTCACCCCTATGTCCCTGCTCGAGCTCTAAGTTCTGACTATCTAGTGTGAGTGGCAGGGCTTTCAGCATCTCAGCTCCTAAGCTCTGGAACACACTTCCTCAAAACCTACCGTGCGGTCTCTTCACTCCAGACCTTTAAAACTGTTCTCAAAACTCACTTATTTACAATATGTTTTGTTAATTGATTGTAGCAGACTGCCTTCTTGCATTTTATGATCTCTGTCTGCTCTATTTGCTTGATTATGTGACTGTATATCTGTTGTTCATGTTATCTATCAACTTTATGTAAAGCGTCCTTGTGTTCTTGAAACCCAATTCACATGAACTGAAACCCAGATCACTGTTGAGTTCAGAAAAACAGCTGAAGGTGATGTGTGATCAGACAGACTGATGTTCTTGGTGAAGAATGATGGTGTTCTATCAGTTTTCAATAATTTGTTAAATCTTGAACAAAAAGAAAACAACAGAAAGCAGCTGTCAAAAGCTAGAGCAATGCCTGAAAGCGGCTGACGCGCCTTGGCTCTGTCGGACCAGCTGAAGGACTGTATGGTCACATCCAGGCGTTTGATCAGCATACGCCGCCGACACTCGTACTCCGCCGACAGAACGCCGTTGATCTTCTCCAGATCTCTCTGGACACAAGACAACATCACACTTCACACACACTTTCATATTTCACATCACTGTCAGACACTCCACTTCCACAGCTGAAGTTATCTGCACTGGTGTTTTCTGATCGGACACCCTCACCTGTTAATAATGTATTAAATCAAACTCTTCTCACCCACTGGTCCGGATGGAGGGAGCTCTTGAACGCAGGAGCTTCGACATGCGTTTCTGGAAGCTGCTTGAGTAAAACATTCACCTGCACCAGAGAAAAAAAAAAACACTTACACAAAAATACAGTATCTCACAAAATAATGGTGGCCACACAAAACATTGACACT